GCACCACGGCTGAGTCCCACATCACCCCTGCACTGGTGGTACCCCACATCCCTGGGAAGCATCACCCCAGCATGTCCCCGCAGGGATGAGGCACCAGCCCAAAGCAGCGGGGTAGGTAGGATGCTGAAGGAGGAACCACAACCACTCTTGCCACCCTTCCAGCGGAAGGCATGATGTGAGCCCTGGTTGAGTCGGTTATTAATAACTCCTTTGTTCACAAGGAGGAACCCAAATGTGACTGCTTCAGCTCGGGCACCCCTCCACAAGCCATCCCTCCCGCCTGGATCCGTGTTCTCGGAAGCGGCAGACGTCCCCGTGAGTCACAGCGGTGACAGCATGGTCCTCACCTACGCGCACGCTCTCCCTCAAATCCTAGGAAAACAACAGATGCTGTTGTTGAGGGGGAGCTTCTCCCGCTCTGTTCAAGCACAAGGATGCGTCTGGACATGGCCAAACTCACAGCTCCCCTAAAGCAAGGGGCCACTGAGCTCCTCTGCCACCCCATGCTGCATGCACTGACAGCAAATAGCCCCTACACCCAAACCTCAGCCTCTCTGTCTGGTTTCTTTGGAGCCTGCAGTTTAGAGACCCTTCCGTACAAACCCGAGCAGTGCTGTGACCCTCTCCACCTCCACACTGGGGTGGGTCTCATTCTCCATGGGGATGGCTCCTGAGGATCCACAAGAGGTGGCAAAGAAATCCCCACTCCCATAGGTGCTGCAGCAGCAGCCTGCCCACGTAATGCTGGTGTGAGGACCTTGCCTTCCCCATAACCCACACAAGCAGCGTAACACCAAGGTTGGAGGCCAGATGCCACAGCAGCTTCCCAGGTAGAACTGAACGGCTCCATGCTCTCCGGGCCACACAAAAGGAAGCCACAGCCAAAGGGACAACCTACTTTCTGCTCTGGTGTCCTGGGCTGCTGAGAGAAGCCTCCCAAGGGACAGCAGGAGCTCCCAAGCATCTCCAAGACACAGATGCAATGGAAAGCATCCCTTCCCCATCTGTCTGAGCCCAGCCAAATCTCTCCATTTCCTTTTATAGGGCCCCTAGGCTGCTGGTGGTCCTGATGATTACCTCACTGATGGTTTACCTCCCTGTAAATGACCCTCACCTGAGTCTCCATCCCAGCCATCCCCTGAGCACTGCTCACTCCATCAGCCCCAAACTGAGTCCTGGGGTAGCACTCGATGTCGGTTCCTCCTGAGGCTGCTACTCATATGTCTGGGCTCTCGCTCCTCACCAAAGTGATGTGTGGCCCTTGCCCAGGAGGCTGCTCCCAGCCTCCATCCAAGGCTGCACACCCCCTGAGGGGGCTGTTTGGGATGACCTCCCTCCTCAGTGACCCTTTCCTGCAGGTGGGATTCCATATGTGAGACTTCATGATTTCCAGTTCCTTTCCAGCAACATCAGCAGGCCCAAGCACTCAAAGTGAGGTCCCACCAACCCCTCCTGCCCTCAGGCTTCATTCCTCCCCTTCCAACCCAAACTATTCTATGATTCTCTCATGGGAGCTGGGGAGCACAGTCCCCTTTCCCACCCCATTGGGCAAGCAGGACCTGCTCTGATTTACTAGCCCAGAAACCCTAATAGCATCCCCAGCCACCCTTGTTGATGGCAAGGAGATGCAGCTCAGTGACTTCACTGGCTCTGGGTCTGCTGGCTGCCCTCCTGTTCATGTTTCCCTATGGGTCCTGCAGGACAATGAGAGGTTCAGAGGGCTATGACCCTCCCAGCACTCTCTGTTCTCTGTATTCAGTTACACCAAGGTGTAAACGGTGCCACGAGCCCCTTGGTTTGGGCCCTGTAGAAGAGCAGAGCTGTGCACAAGGATGGGTCTGATGCTCAGGATGTGACCCGTGCTCCGAGGGGAAAGTGCTGACTCTGAAATCCTGTTTAGAGGCACTGACGTGGCGTTTTCTAGCCCAGGATGTGTGTGGGGCCTCAGTGGGGCACCCGCTTCCTCAAGGGGCCGGATTCTCATCACATCCCGTGCACCGGCCATGGGTCAGTACCGGATCCAGGCACACAGCAGCTATGGGTGATGTGGTCAGCACTTGCTGTGCCCGTGCAGGTCATCTACTGGGGACATCCCACTGCCAGCAGCAAAGCCCATGTACTCACTGGGGGCTGTGGCGTGAGCCAGCCCTTCCATCATCCAGGCCCAGCTTACAGCCCCTCCATAGGAGGCAAAGCCAGGCTTGGAACACCCCCTCCTCTCCCATCCACCCCAATGCACTGGATGGAGAGGAGCAAGGAGGAGCCTTAACAAAGCTCCTGGGGCCTGCAGCAGAAAAGGAAGGGGCTCCCTCCCTCCTCTTCCTCCCTCCCTCCCTCATGGGGAGCTTGCAGGCAGGTAAACACAGGATGTTGATGAAACAGGCTCAGAGGATTGGGCAATGATGGAGTCAGCCCAGCTCAGGGCAGCAAACAGCACCCAGAGGGGAATGGGCGCTGCCAGGGCCAACCTCACCCCCTCTGTCCGTCCCCAGGGTGAGCATCATCACCATGCTCCAGGATGCAGGCTTTGACAGCCACCAACACCGGGGTCCCACAGGGTGCAGGGATGGGGGTACAGCCCCCCAGGATGCTCAGCACCCACGGCTCAGGGCCGGCACTGCAGGCACAGGCTCTCCCCTGCTCCGGTACAGGGTGTGCTGTGTAAAATGTGGCTGTTGGACAAGGGACAGGAGGGAAGATGGGAGGGGAAGAAACCCAACAGCCTTGTTTTGCTGTTCCTTGGATGCCTCAGCCCCGTGGTTAGTCAGCGCTGGCTGCCTTGCAGGGCTCTGCAGCACAGCCTCACGCTGTCAACTGGGTATTGCAGGGGTCCCAGCCTCTTCCCAGGGCTCTGGTGAGCACGGGATAGGGAAGATTTGGGGCTGCTTCTGAGCACAGGGAAGGGTTTTCCCAGGGAACGGAGCAGCTGGAGGATGGGACGCGATGGGCACCTCTGGTTGTGTAGAACCAGGATGCTCATGGCGCCTTTGAGGGGTTCCCTGGAGGTGGCGTGATGCTGAAGTGGTACACGCTGGGCTCTGCCATCAGGGGCACCCCATCCCTCTCCCTGGCAGTGAATTGGGATGAAGCACCCAGGAAATGGCTGAACACAAGAGAGTGTTTGGCTCCCAACCCAGAAACAGGGCTATTATAGACCAGCGAGCAGAAGGGACCCATCCCCTGGGCAGGGACCACGGCTGGAGCAGCAGGAAGCATCAGGGTGAGGGAAGGGGGATGTGGTGTAAGGATGCAAGGACAGAGATGCCAAAGGAACTGCCTGCTTCCTTAGAGCAAGAGTGGAGGAGCATGTGGCACTGTCCCCAGTGTCCCCAGTGTCCCCCTTTATACTGCTGCCATCTGCTGGCAGGACCCAATCCTGCTCCGGTCCTGAGCCCAAACACTGTGCCAAAGCCTTGGGGGACCCCTTTGTGACCCCACTGTCCCGCACCCCGCTCCCAGGCACACCGAGCAGTGCAGCATCATGCATGGCTTCGAATGGACAGCCCAAGGTGCCCCCCAAACCTCTCTGCTGTGAGTCCAGTGATGCTGCACCCCAAAACTGCTCTCAGTATCCATGTGTGGTCATCACCCCACACTAACCTGCTCCCTGGAGCGCAGGTTTCTCCCATGTCAAACCCCCTTCCAGTGCTCAGACACCCCCATGCCCAGCTCACCCCCATCATTGCCGGTGTAACACCCCATCTGTGCTGGTGGACACAGGGACAGGATGGAGCCCTTGGCCAGCAGCAGGGTTCCAGCAGCGGCTCTGCTGGGAGCATCCAGCTCTGCTCTGGCCAAGCAGCAGAGGAAGCCCAGCCCCGAGATAGCATCTTCCTGCTGCACTCCTGTCCCTTGGGTCTTGCCAGGCCGTGGGGATCTGCTGAGTCCTGCCCCTAGGACATACCGAGCCTATTCCCACGGCTTCCCAGCGTTTCCGCTTCCCTTGGGAACAGCAGGTCCTGAGGCCGTGTTGGGGATAACCATAGAGGGCATGTGGGGACAACCAGGGCCACCCTCCCCACTTCCCATGGGCAGTGGGACACTGAAAATGGCCTCAATGGGGTGTTACACGGTGTTTGCTCTTTGGATGCAGTCAGAAAGCATCTTGGATGCACTTGGGAAGGGTTGGAGAGACAAACCCAAACCCAACCAAGGGCCCGCAAGCACCACAGCTCATCCCTCCCCGTGCAGATGGCAGCGGCATCCTGCTCCTCACTGGAAAGTGCCCAAGTGCATGGGCAGGGATTGAGCTGCAGCTGTCCCTGCTTTAATTCCTCAGAGCAAAGCAAAGCCAGGATCCGAAGGGTTTTCTGTGTGCTTCATGTCCCGGCCCACACACACGACGGGAATGCTGCACGGCATCGGAAACCTTCCCGTTGGGAATGACGCCTTGCATGCAAGCCCTATGGACTCAGTGCCTGACGCCCACGAGAGCTGCAGGAAATGGTTTCAGTCTAAAAGGGATTATTCCTTTTTTTCCCCTATTTCTATGGAAAAAAAAAGGCTGGAAAAAAATCAACCCCCAAAGGGCCACAACTGAAAAAGCCAATGGCAATGATGCTGAAACCTTGCTGGGGAGGGCTGGGACCTCACATGGAGTTTTCAGTCTGATTTCCAAAGAAATGAGGTTGTGCATCCACCATTCCTTCCTGTGCCTCTGCCCATCCATTTTTACCATGACACCCATTCCCATCAAGTCCATGAAGGCAGCTCAACCCTTACAAGACACCAGAGACTCCCCCCATCAGCATTATCTGCCAGCTGTGCTCTCCAAGCACATTTCACCACATCCATGACCTGTGCACCCAGCTCATCACCATCCTTTATCCCTTCCAACACCCATTGCCTCCCAGCACCGCTGCCCATGGCCCATGGCAGAGGTGATGGCACCAACCAAAGGACTGCATCCTTCTGCCGATGGGCGCCTGGCATCTGGGCGGGCTGGAACATCCCCCCCCCCCTGCACATCTGGGCAGCTGTGCCTGCGTGGTGCTCATGCTGACATCAGCACAGCTTCCTGCCGCCGGCACCGCTGCGCTGTGTGCTCACCCCTGCACCCCACAGGGCCCCTCAGAACCATCACAGCCAGAGCCATGGAGTCGGTGGCTCTGTACAGCTTCCAGACGACCGAGAAGGACGAGCTGCCCTTCCACAAAGGGGACACCCTGAAGGTACATGGGCAGGGGGGGGTCACCAGCCATTGGAGGGGGGTTGGAGTGAGCACATGGCATGGGGGTGCTTTCCTTGTTGCCTTTATGGGGCTTTCCGTGGTGTATAAGGAGCCATACTTGAGGTGTTTGGGGTGCGCAGCATCATCCCCAGTAGTGCTGGGTACCACTTTGTGCCACCGGTCACATCTCCAGCAAGGACCCAACTGGGCCTTGGCATGTGGCCTCCCTGGCCACCAACTATGTTCTGCCACAGCCCCCCAGGGCTGGAACATGTTTTCCCTTCCCCATGGAATCACTGAGTGCCGCAGGAACCCCACATCAGCGAGCATGTGCGCAAACACCCTCTGCATCAAGGTGGGCTCTTTGATGCCACTTGGGAACCCCAAAAACCTTCATGGGGGCTCAAACCATCCCCCAGGGAGCTGCAGCCCTGTGATGGGGGGTGAGGGCACCCCCATCCTGCCACACCACCCAGCTCTCACCCCTCTCCATGGGGCTGATGCTGCGGTACCCAGCACCCTGCAGGCAGCCCTGGGCAGGGTGAGTGCATCGCTGTGCCCCCCTGCCTCCCTAGTGTGTTTTCCCCATGCCCATGCCCCGGGTTTCGGATCCTGTTTGCTCAGCGGTGCTGTGGGACCAGCGTGGGAGGCTGGAAAACCCTGTGGGAAGTGGGTGTCAGCACCCAGCAGCACCGGGGCCCTTCCGGATGGGGTTTGCCTTTATCCTTGGCTGGGGGTTTGGAGCACCCCGCAACTGCCAGCATTTGTGAGCTAAGGAGGGCAGGGGCAGCAGCAGGGCTGTGCAGGTGTCCCCAGACCACATCACTGTTGTCAGAGCCCCCTGTTCACCAGGGCTCACAGAATGGCTTGGGGTGGAAGGGACCTTACAGCTCATCCGGCTCCAACACCATCCATGGGCAGGGACACCTTCCACTAGGGCAGGTTTAGGTGGGGAATGTGGGGTCTGGGGCAGTGAGGGGGGTCCCACTCAGCTCTGGTCCCAGTAGCTCCTGTCCCACCTTAGATCCTCAACATGGAAGATGACCAGAACTGGTACAAGGCTGAGCTGTACGGCTGCGAGGGCTTCGTCCCCAAGAACTACATCAAGGTCAAGCCTCACCCGTAAGTACACATGGAAACAGAGCTCGAAACCCTTTGCTGGTAGCACCCACCGGCACCAGGACATCCTCTCCCACCACCCAGGCTGTGATCCCGATGCTCCATCCCCATGCCCATCGGGCTGCACAAGCCAGAGCGGTCCCACACATGGGGACACTGAGTCACAGAGCGATGGGGTGTGCGTGCCAGGTCAGTGTGCCCATGGCCAGAGGGGATGGGAGGCAGCAGCAGCATGTCCTAATACCCCTGACACAGAGCAATGCAACCCTCACATGGGGCTGCCCGCTAAATAAGTGATAATTGGGGAACAACGAAGCGCTATGGGATTAGGAATGCATTCGGCACAATCCTATTACTGTGTTATTAAAGCCCAGCCTAATCCACCCCTGTTTTAACCCGTGTTTTATGTATCATTATCCCCTGGTACATGGCATGTAAATGCCACAGCAAAACCTGCCCGGGGCTGCAGGAGCCCGGGGCACATCCCATTGCCTCTCTGCTTTGGGTTGACATGCTGGGGCAAGCAAGACACAGCCTCCTGTGTGCAGAGCACGGAGGGATGGCACTGGGAGATGTGTGGGAGTCAGTGGGTGATCGTTCATGGGGTGGTTTTAACAGGGAGCAAAAGGTCTGCACGGCCTGGGGCTCCTCAAAGGCACAGACAGGGATGGGAGATGGGGACTCTGCTCCTCCACATTGTTCCAGCAGCTGCCTGCAGTGCAGGCAGGAAGGGTTTCATCCTGCATGGAGGATTTGCTGCCCTGCAACCCTCTCTGTTCCCATAGGGAGACATGGGGAGGAGTGAGGTGATAGGCAGCGGAGTAGGGGATGAGGCACATGAGCCGGTGACAGGATGTGGTCACAGCTGTCAGTGATGCTGCACTAACCCTGTATGGATAAAGCAGACGTGGGGACACATCTGCACCCACAGCACCCTGTGATAGCACTGTGATAAACTGGGGGAAAGGGATGAATCCCCTTCAGGGATGTCCCAGCCCCATAGGGAGCCAAATGGGGACCGTGCTCCCACCAGTACCAGGGCTCTCAGTGCCTGAATCCCGCAGTGATGGAGCATTGGGGTGTCCCTGGGTGCTCTGATCCCGGTGTCCCCTGCAGGTGGTACGCGGGAAGGATCTCCCGGCACCTGGCAGAGGAGCAGCTCCTCCAGCGCAGGCACATGGGAGCCTTCCTGATCCGAGACAGCGAGAGCGCTCCGGGGGAGTTCTCCATCTCCGTCAAGTGAGTGGCCATGGGATGCGGATGGACACAGGATGGGATGGGCAGGGGTCCACAGCAGAGCCTGCTTTGGGGACTGAAGGCATCAAGGCCACCCCTGTGCATAGTCCCCATTGCAGTGCTGGGGATGGGGTGAGCATCCTGCCCTGGTCACCTCAAAGGGGCTGGGGGCTGCAGACCCATGTCCCCAAGACATCAAGGGCCTCCCCCTTCTTCCTCCCCTCTGCAGCTTCACGCTCTGCCTCCATCCCCACTGCTTCCTGCTCCCTGCATCCACCACGGGCTGTGTCTGGGTCCCTCACTGGGGTGCCCCTCAGTACAGCCATGTGGGTAACAGCAGCACCGGGGCCAAGCTGTAAGCACAGCCCAGGGGACATGGCCTGGAGGAACGCGTTGCCCAGAGCATCCCAAAGGATGTAGGGCTGCTGCATCCCAGTGCCGTGGGGCTGATGGCTTTGGCATGGGCAGCAGGGCTGTGTGAAGGCAGCGTGCCAAAGGGCAGAGCCTGCCCCAGGGCCTCTCACCCCATCTCTGCCCCTTCCCTGCCCGGGGCCAGGGTAGCAGGAGCCAGCCCGGGGCCAGGCAGGCACTTTCTCACGCTGCTGATCTCTAATGAAGGGTTTAAGGAGGTTCTTGCCCTTAATGAAAGGGAGCCCTGCTCTGCCCTGCGTCTCCAGCCAGGACACATCCCTGCCCCTGCCTGGGGCCCTGGCACCGGTGGGTCAATGCAGCAGCCCCATGCAGTGCAGGCACCCCAATGTGCCACCCCAGTACACACCGAGGGGTGACAGCAATCCCTACCTGCAGCTTGGGGGTCCCAAGTCTTTGCTGTCTCCTCCTTCCCAATCCAAGCCTTTGCTGTCTCCTCTTGGAATGTGCTGAGCTGAGAGCTGCAGCTCTCCCCACATTTTATTCCGATGTGGCTCCTCTTTGATCCCTGCTGGAATTCGGCTGGTGCCAGCATCCCGAGGCCAGGGTAACGTCCATCCTCCTTCCGCAGCTACGGGCAGCACGTCCAGCACTTCAAGGTGCTCAGGGAGAGGAAAGGCAAATACTACCTCTGGGAGGAGAAGTTCAACTCCCTCAACGAGCTGGTGGATTTCTACAGGAGCAGCAGCATCGCCAAACAGCAGCAGATCTTCCTCCGGGACGAGGACCAGGGCCAGGAGGTACCCTCAGGGGATGAGGCCATGGGGATGTGCAGAGCTGGGGCGATGGCATCGCTGGGCTGGGAGCCCCTTTGGGATAGATGAGATGCTAGGAGGAGGTTCTGCCCTGTGAGGGTGCTCAGAGGAGCTGTGGCTGCCCCATCCCTGGCAGTGTTCAAGGACACAGGGGCTTGGAGCAAGCTGCTCCAGTGGAAGGGGTCCCTGCTTGGAGCTGGAGGAGCTTTAAGTCCCTTCCACCCCAAACCAGGCTGGGGTTCTAGGATTCTATGAAACCAAATGGCCCAGCTCTGAGCAGACACCAGCTCCAGCCCCCTCTGGGCACAGGCTCCCTCATCACCATCAAGCAAAGCATCCTGGGTCCAGTCCCAGATCCCTTCACAACCCCCACTTTGAGGCTCAGCTCCCCCCATAGAGGAGGACAGGGCTGGCACTTGGCCCTGTGCTCAGGATGGGATCAAGGCGGTGTCAAGCAGAAGATGCTGTGCTGTGGGGATGCAGCAGGGTGGAGAAAGCCTCCAGTGCAGGTCCACAGGGCAGGGCAGCTCCCCTGGGCCCATGGCACCATCCCTCAGGCCAGGGGTGATGCCTGGGGCAGGTGGCACCTCCCAACCAGCGCCAAATGGGGCGCAGGCAGCTTCGGGCCACCTCCAGCAAAGCCAAACCCTGGGGCGGTGATGATGGAGGTGGCAAAACCAGGCCCTGGGAGCTGGGCTGGGGTGGCTGCAGCACCCAGGGGGACCCAGGAAGGACATGGGAAGGAGAGAGGTGCCAGCTCCCCGAGCAGGGGGTCCTGGGCTCCAATCTTGGCTCTCCCAGGCATCCTTATGCCTTGGGATGCTCCCCTGCACCCCAGGCTCTGCCCTGCACTAGGGGCTGTCCCCAGCACTCCAGCTCTTCCCATGGAAGGATTCCTCTGTCTCCCATCTCCTGTCCTCAAAGCGAGCATCCCAGGCACCCCCACACCCTCCATGCTCTCACCTCGGGGTGTCACCGCATCCCCATCCCTCCGGCAGCACATCCCGGTGCAGAGGGGCTGGCAGAGGGGGCTCCTCTCCCTCCACCAACCCCTGCCCTTGGCTTTCCCCCAGGGCAGGAGACCCAGGTTCGTGCAGGCTCAGTTCGATTTCTCCTCCCACGACTGCTCCCAGCTCCCCTTCCTCCGCGGGGACATCATCGAGGTCCTGGCCTGCCCCGACCCCAACTGGTGGCAGGGGAAGATCTACGGGCGCGTCGGCCTCTTCCCTCGCAGCTACGTGCACCCCATCTGCAGGTGAGCTGCTGCGGGCAGGCAGGGGGGGACCACGGCCCCGCTGCCCCCCGCTCACCGGAGCTGCTTTGGCCCCGGACACGGACTGCACATCCCCTCGTCCCCATGGATGGTGCCGTCCCTCCGCAGGGCTGGCAACACGCAAGGGCTCAGTGCCATGGGGTCATGGCCAGCATCATGGTGATCCCCATCCGAGGGTGCCCATCTCCAGCACCCTGAAACATCAGCTTTCCCTACCCCTGCCCAGGAGACCTCCAACATTCCCAGCCCAGGCATCGCCTCTCATTGGGAGAGCACAGAGCATTGGACCACAGCCATAAACCCTTCTCCAGAGCCCCAGCCTGATGGGGTGGCAGCTATGGAGGGATGAGAATGTGTCCCCCAACCCTTCGCTCCTCTCCAGGGCAAGCAAAGCCCGGGTTCCAAGCATCCTGCAGGCAGCCGGGATGCCATCAGGCTTGGTAGCTCCATGGAGGGATGCTGGGAAAGGCTGATCCAGGGGGGTCAGTCCTGGGGGTGCTGTAAATAGCCGCACATTGTACCTTGTGTGATGTTAGTTGTATTCAGAGCTGGTAAAACGTGTTCAGTGACAGCCTCGAGGGTGGCTGCTCCTTTCCCACCGTCGCACAGCAGCATCCATGTGCCTGCTGCCCCACCGTGGCTTTGCCTTCCCTGCAGTCCCATTCACCCACCCCGATACCTCCCCCCAAAGCCGTTCCTGACCCCACACATACCCCCCAGCACCTCACAACCCCCGGGATGCACTCAGTGTGTGCGGCGCTGAGAACGCCCAGCTCATCGCACTGATGGATTTAAACATCCCATGTCCTGAACGTAACAAGTAAAAACTATCCCCCAAATCCCCATTTCCCCCCCATTCCCAGCACCTTTCCTCCCTCCAGGGGCTGGCAGGCCGTTAGGCAAAGGAGGCATAGCAGAAAACATTGACACACATCAGGATAACGGCGTTGATGCTGCAGATGTGGGACCAGAAGGGGGGCTCTGTGATGCCCTTGAAGGCCACGGATGGGGGCCCCTCTGCCTTTGATGGCTGCTGGCTCTATGAGGTAGCTGAGCAGGAGCCTGGCACAGGAAGACAGTGATTGTAAGGGATATCCCCTGTAGGGGATAGGACTATGGGGAAACTGAGGCACGGGGCATCCATGCTGCCCGTTACAGGCAGGGAATGGGGAGCACTGAAGATGCCTCCTCTACCAGACACCCTAACACACACTCACCAACATGGGATCCATGGGATGTGCCATCCACGGAGAGCTTGGGGGGATCCCATGAGAGCGTTAACCCCATGAGAACCTTCAGCTAGAAATGGGGTTAGATTTGGTGTGACAACACCTCACGGTGAGACCCTCCCATAGGGACCCCCTGGCTGAGATTGGGGTGCTTTACAAAGAGGAAGCAGCTTGAGTGTAAAATGCACACCCTGACCCAAGGGGAAGGAGAAAACCCCCGTGTTTGGCAGGTCTCTAACCCACAGAGGATGCAAACAGGACATGGGGAAACACTGGAGTGTGTGAGCTGGGGGCACCGGATGGATGTGTCCTGGTCCATGTGCATCATGAAGCGGGGATGCAGGCAGGGATGGAGGGCAGAGCCTGGCACAGCTTCCTGAGGAGATATGGGGGGATTTGTGAAGGGTTGGATGGGTGCTCTCATCACCACATCATTGCCTTGGCACCGAGCTCACACCAAACACCAGTGGGCATTCCAGCCGGGCAGCATGGCCATGGCAGGAGCTCAGACCCACACGTCCAGGAACCGGGAGCTCTCTCCAGTCCCAGGCAAATCCCTTCTCTCCCGGTGCTGAGCTGAATGGAGCATCCCCACCCCGGTGGGTCCGGGGGGCAAGTGGGACCCCTTAATGGGTAATCAGAAATCATAGACCCATGGAGTCACAGACTGGGTTGGGTTGGAAGGGACCTTGAAGCTCATCCAGCTCCAATCCCCTGCCATGGGCATGGACCCCTTCCACTGGAGCAGCTTGCTCCAAGCCCCTGTGTCCAACCTGGCCTTCAGCACTGCCAGGGATGGGGCAGCCACAGCTTCTCTGGGCACCCTGTGCCAGCGCCTCAGCACCCTCACAGGGAAGAGCTTCTTTATATCCAACCTAAATCCCCCCAAGCGATTTGCAGGTAGGAAACCCTCAAACTTGCGTCTAAAACCACCATTTTTCCCCCTCTCCACCACGTTTCCCATTTGCTGTATCCCTGTGGGGCTGCAGGGGATGGGATTTGCAGCGCCCTGCTCACACAAACCCCCCCCCGATGCGCTCCCGAGCAGCCCGGCACGGACTGAAGCAGTGTCAGTGCCCCCCAACCCGATGGGCAAACCCATTGCAAACCCCATCCTGGGGAGAGCTCTGCGCAGTCACTGCACCTCCTGCCACCGAAGCAGCTTCCCATGGAGCAGCCGTGCAGGACCTGGGATCCCAGCATCGCTGCGCATCCCCTGCCCGCCCTGCAGGAGATGGAAGGTGCCAGCCAGTGCTGCTCCTGGAGCTGCCGAACCAGCCGGGGCTCCCCGCAGCCCTGACCCACATTCTCTCCCTGTCATTGTGCGCCCCGAGCCGGGGACGCTCCCCGCCCCGCACCGCCCCGCACCGGGGCATTCCCCAGCGCTGACTCCGCCGCCCCGAGCACAGCCCCAAGGGCACGGTCCCGGGCTCCCCGCCGGCACCCGGCATCCCGTGGGAGCGTGGGGAAGGTCTCCCATGCGCTTGGCTGGTGGGAACGGGCCGGAGGATGCTCTAAGCGCATCCTGGCCTCTCCGAACGCCCCGTCTGCCTTTGCAGCGCTTCCATGCATAATCCAAGGGCTTGTTCTCCGTTCCTAAAGCAGGCTGAGCGCGGCAGGCTCCCGGGCACAAAGGGCAGATCACAGAGGGACAGACCGGCCCCACCGGTCTCCTCAAGACCCGGGAAGCCGCAGTCCTACCTGGCCACCAAGAGCAGCTCCTGCTCGCCAGCCCCCGGCCTCAGCTTCCTCCAGATGCCCACGGGGAAGAGGGTGCTGCTGCTGTTGAATACGGAGGTCGTGAGCGCGGCTGTCATCACTGCAACCATCAGATCACGCAGCCCTAGGGAGGAGAGGGACCATCAGGATGTGGCTGAACCAGAGGGGATGGGATGGGATGGGATGGGATGTAACATGGGATGGGATGTAACAGTCACGATGCTTAGCCCAAGGGTAATGCCTCCCCCTCTGCAGAACACGCTGCAATGTCCCCTGGAGCAAGGATGGGGTTTGGGGCACCCAGCTGCACCCCGGGATGCTGGGACCTGCACTGCCATGGGATCACCCACATCCCCTGACCTCACTTCTGGAATCACCCATGGAAAGGCTGCATGCATGGGCTATGTATCCATAGGGTAAACCCACCCCGGCCATCCACAGGGTCCCCCCAGCATCCAAGCCTCAACAGGCTGCATGGGCAGGCCTGGGATGGGGCAAAGCCCAGTGGAGATGGAGGTGCCCCCTTCCTATCCACCTACCTCTGGGCATCAGCTCGATCACCAGCTTGGGGTAGGTGATGTTGGAGCAGCCCACGGCGACCCCACAGATGCGGGTGCACTCCTCAGGGTCCACACAGGCCACAGTGCCTGGGGGACAGAGGTAGGTGATGTTCTAGGACCCTTCCATCCCCTGTTCTATTGGGGTAGATATTGGCCCTTTGCTATGGCCATGATGCCCCATAAGCATAGAACTGGGTGGAGAGGAGCGCATCCCACATGCATGATCCACCTCTGCCTCTCCCATTGGCCTTAACACAGACAGGACCCACCCCAGCAGCATGACCCTCACCTCGCACTGCCCCACATCCAGCCCACTTCTGTTCAGATCTACCCCACACTGAGCCCACCCCACATTAAAGTCAGTGACAGGGGCCCCACCAGGACCCGGTGCTGTGGCTGGAGGCAGCAGAGCCCCACGGGCAGGCACTGCCCATCCCTGTGCATGGGGTTCATGCACCGTTGCAGCAATTACCTGCATGGGCAGCACCCAGCAGCTCCGTGGGACGCGGGCGGCAGCACCGTCACCGCCCCACTGATTGTGTCCCAACGAGCACCGAGCCCTCTTTTTATTGTTATGCCCATAAAATATGGGAATGAATGGAAACGAATGCCAGGCATCAATGTGGAATGGGCTGCCTGGCTCCTCGGTCTGCATCCTCCCAGTGAGGAGCATGGGTAATCCCAGCACATCACTGGGAGCATCATCCCGGTCCCCCTGCTTGGTGACCCTCACCAAAGCAGGGTACCCCCAGCAATAGTGGATGGGGAAGGCAAACCCTGGCTGGTAACACCTTGAGGCTTTACATAATGGGTTATGAGACACAATGGGGTGTAATGTGGGGTGAGAACACAGGGCACAGGCAGCAGAGCACAGGCCTGATGCTCAGCACATCCCAAGGACGCTAAAAGAGCCCAACCTGAGCCACGTTTGCCCTGGGTCAGAGTCAGCGCTGGGGCTCTGGTGACTCTGTCCTGCAGCAGCTGTGAGTAAAGCTGCCATCACCGCTCCCTGCCTCGCTTTCCTCCTCTTTAAAAGAGCATATTGTGCTGGGCTCTATGCAAACGCTGGTGCCTGCAGGGTGGAAGATGCTCCAGAGGGCAAAGCAGCGTCGGGGTGTTATAGCCCAGCTGAAACGCTTGCCCCAGGGCTCAGCTCTGCCACCAAACCCATCGGTGGGACCTGGGAGCAGGAGCTGAGCCCAGTGGGCATCCAGAGCCCCCGAGCTGGGAGCAGACCCCAGCATCCTACCCCGCTGCTTTGCTTTAGCATTAGGCCCTTTGCTAGGGATGGGAAATTAATTAGGAGCTTGTAATTAATGCTTCCATCTGCAGTCGGGAGGAGCCGGTCCTGTCTCTGTGCCGGGTGCTGCCCGTCCGGCTGGGTCACCCCAGGGTGGCCAAATGGGGACAGCCAGGATGGCAGGGACCAACCTGCTCATCCATGGGGACATGTCCCTGCAATGGGGCTGCACGCAATTCAGGTCCCGGGGGACTAAGCGCTCATTACCCCATAGGAGATGCTCCAGCCACAGGGCTCTATGGACCCAATCCCCCCCCACCATCATGGCTGTAGGAGCTGGCCCATGGGATGCTGCATTTATGCC